GAGCAAGCGACCAGGTCTACGGAATCCTCAACGCCAGAACAGACACGGGTGGATTTAAGTTGTAGGCCTCCTGTGAATGGCAGAAGTGTCTTGAAAACTCCTGAAGGGAGAGGTCGAGGAGTGAAGAGGACACAGTAGAGGTAGCAGTCCTGTGTGGCACTATGTGTCCTTCCCAAGAGCTGTCAAATCCAGTGCAGGGAAGGTGGAGTGGAAAGGGACTGTTTGGTGTCAGAAGTGGGCTCATGAGACATCATGGCAGAAGCATCTGAGAAGGAGATGAGCAGAACTGAATCCCAGTAGTGAGTGACCAAAGGACAAAGTAAAAGGAACACTGGGCTGGGAAGAGTCCAGCCAATGCCCCAAACACCAGGGCCTTCTGCTCCGGTTTCCTTAGCTGGTAAATCCAAGGGAAAATAACACCTCACCTCCAAAATTTCCTATAAAGATAATGTGATGCCAAATATGAGATGTAATGAGACACCAAACACATGCCTTGCACATAACTAGTGTTCCTAATCTGCTAATGGAATGCTGGTTAAATCTGGATATGAACAACACTTTGAAGGATAAAAAACATAAAGCACACATGGGATACTGTTATAACAGTGGCTCTATTTGGCAGCCAAAATTCCAGTTTTGCAAAATTTTGCAAAAAGAAAAAAAAAGGAGTTTGTGAAATTTCAGGAATCATAACAAATCTTATGTTTAAAAAAAATAGACTTCCAAACATAAATGAAAAGTATGCATATATTCATTTTTTAAGTCAAAATATACTTTCCAGTAAATGAATACATAAGATGATCAGTGACTATGTTAAGGTATTATAATTGATATCTGTTTCATCTGCTAGTAAATGTCAATATTCTTGTAGACATAATTGTTAATAAAACATTATATATATGGGGGCACCGGGGTGGCTCAGTCAGTTAAGCATCTGTCCTTGGCCCAGGTCATGATCTCAGGGTCCTGGGATGGAGCCCTGCATCGGGTTCCCTGTTCAGTGGGGAGCCTGCTTCTCTCTCTCCCCGCCTCCCACTCCATGCTCTCTCTCACTATGTCTCTCAAGTAAATAAATAAATAAAATCTTTAAAAAAAAAACACTATATATACGACTTGATGCAAATTAGAGATCCAGGAATATGCTTTTACCTTTTAAAAATGTTTTAAATTTAAAAATAGCAATTCAGGGGCACCTGGGTGGCTCAGTCATTAAGCATCTGCCTTCAGTGCAGGTCATGATCCCAGGGTCCTGGGATCGAGCCCCACATCGGGCTCCCTGCTCGGCGGGAAGCCTGCTTCTCCCTCTCCCACTCCCCCTGCTTGTGTTCCCTCTCTCGCTGTGTCTCTCTCTGTCAAATAAATAAATAAAATCTTTAAAAAAAATAAATAAGTAAGTAAAAAATAATAAAAATAGCAATTCATGAACATATCATCACGGGAGAAAAAACACAAATGGTATATAGGGTAAAAGGTGAAAGTCTCCATTTTCATTAATCCTTTAATGATAGTAAATTGTGATGGAAATGCTACCTTTACATTAACCTAGAGCAACTGTCAGCCAGACCCAGTGCCGTGCACATCTTTGCAATGCTCACTGATCGGTTTAGGACCGATGAACCACCGGCTTTCATGCTACCCCTGATAACAATAATGCCACTCCTACAGACTTACAGAAAGCCTCAGTTTACAGAGTACTTTCACATACAATACTGTCTCATGTCTTAATGTGGGCAGGGTGAAGGGGTTTGAAGCCAGCTCAAGGTGAGGGTAAACGGAAGCAGAAATGTTGTACTCCCAAGGATCCAACACTGTCTTTCAGTGGACTGGGCCTGCCTCTCAACCAGTAGTGTAATAAAGATGCTTTAAGGGGATTACTCAAATACTACATAATGGTACAATGTAAAATTTTAAAGTCATGATTATGAATGAACAGACTATACCCAATGAGCTTAGAAATACATCATGGAGAAACTGAGGCCCTGAGAAATACCAGTTTATGACACGGATGCATGGGACACTGTGACTGATAATACTCAAAGCCCCTCCATGCTAATCTGGAGTTCAGAGGACAGATTCCACCAACCCCACGTGTGCCCAAGCTTTGTCCTTCTCTCGGTGCTCGGGTGCTAAGCTCTGGGGCCATGGTGACGGAACAGAACCTCTCCCACTCATCTGCCTCCTATAAAAAGAAGCTGACCAGTCCTACTGGGAGCTCCCCCTGCAAGGCTACTTCATTCATTTTTATTTGTGCCAGGGAAGAATTTCAAAGTCTTTTCTCTGGTGCGGGCCGGCCTCCTGGTCACCACCAGAGCCTGTAGGATATGGTCATCTGTTGCACTGAGAGGAATTTGCATAAGGTTGTGCTGGGGGGGACTCCCACCCCACAAGCTGCACTCAAGCAGCTGTGAAGGACAGAGGGAAGGTGGAGGGAGGAAAGGAAGTCACTAAAGAGTCTTGTCTTCAGAGCCCGATTTCCTGCTTGTTTTTGCTGAACTTGTCTTCAGGACAACTCCTCGTGAGTTGCAGGACACCTGCTTTCTGTCTCACCACCCAGCCTTTGTCCAGGCGGTTTTTCTGCCTCGAGTCAGCTCATCCTCCACATTTTAGCTGAGCTGTCACCTCACCAAGGAAGCCTCCCTGATCTCGTGCATCCCGACCTGGGGCTTCCTGTGTCCCACAGCACCTGAGCCCATCCCGACCATAACCTCCATCAGAGCGAGCTGAATCGGCTGACCAGTGCTTGGAGGCAGGGGCTGGGTCCTTTTGCCGCTGTACTCCTGTCCCTAGCACAGAGCTACCAGTACATAAGCCTTCACTAAATAGACTGGGAGAATGAGCAGGAAACTAACTTCATTCTTCTTTTGTGGCCAAAACCTAATTGGTGATACCAGCTGAATTTGGAAAGCCAAGCAGGAGAAGTAAAGAATTGTTTCTGGTGTGAGACCTTTGTAAATATCTCCTCAGCATCTAAATACGAGCCTGGATAGCAATCCTCATCCTTCTACTTCCACACCTACATAGAGTGAAACTTTAAAGTTTTTAAATTTTCCTTAAAAATTTAAATAAAGTTAAAAAGACTGGAGTTTGTCAATGAATCTGGTTAAGTAATTGCCAATGAAACGCTAAATATGAATTCAGTTTTTTATATGCTCACATACATAATCACACCCCTTAGAGAATTTCAAATGTAAAGAATAGCGTGACTCTTTCTGATTTTTCCATGCAATATTTAGTTATTTCCAAGTTTCTGCTCTACCTGGGCTGTTTTTGAGATACAAAGTGTGTGGGTTTGCATCTCTGATCATCCAAAGTTCCTGGTTTCCCTGAGGCTCCATCATTCATAGCATCAGTGACATTCACATCTTCCCAAATGATGTGGGTATTTTTATGTAACTTTGCTCTCCTTGGAGATCCAACACTGACATCCCGGGAGGCAGGGAAGCACTGCAGGGAGCTGGAGCCTCCCCAGGCCTGTGTCAGGGAAAATGTCAGTGTCTCAGAGAAAACCCCCATTCTGCCCGCCCCCTGCCCCGGTGTACTTCAGCTTGTGGTGGGAACTAGTACTGGTGGCTGAGGGAGGGCTGGGCACAGGGCACAGCGTGAGAGGGTGCAGCTGAGGTCCAGGCCCACTGGAACACACGGAGGTACAGAAGAGACCGATGAACCAAAGGGAGTGGTGGAGAGGAGGAGGCCACAGAATGCACCCCAAGGAGTGCACCCTAACTGGGCAGGAACAGCCACTCCCCTATAGGCGCCACCAGTATACCCGGTGACCAGGATGGGGCCAGGCATCTGAGCCATGACCAGAGACGTCCCCCCTGGGTCTAGGAAAACTCCTTCCTGTACCCAGAAGCCCTGGAAAGGAAGAGAGGGAGGGGAGACTGAATACATGGAAGGGGAGAAATGCCCTAAAGACTGAGTTTTTGGATTCGCTGGATGCTGGTTCCCACAGAAATTCCTTCAAGCCCGGAAGGGCTGGTTCCGCTCTATTGGCACTTCCCAGTCCTCTCTACCCGGTCAGCAGGATTCCAGAGCAATGCGTGGTCGGTTACAAGATAACATGACCGTTTCTTCACACATCTGACCAATTTCAACCCACGATGTTCTCAGGCATCTTGTGGGAAAACTTAGTTTGGAAATCATAAAAACAAATTTAAAACTGTATTTTTTTGTAAGCAAGATTGTCTAGAAGAAATCACAACATTGCCAGGAGGAAGATGAATACAGCAACAGAAAAACCTCACACTAACTTGCCAGCACCCCTCAGCCTGCACCAGCTGAAGCCATCTCTCTCCAAGGTCTAGCCCGGGTATCCCCTCTTCTAAGGAGCCTTCTCCAGCCTCTCTGTCTGAAATGCCCTGCTTGAATCTGTAGCTCTAAGTTCATGTCCAGTGCTACTTCTTACCTCCCGTGTAATCTTTTGCTCTGAATTCTTTGCTCTGCCTCTCCCAGAGTCATCCTCATAAAGGTGTACCGTATAAGTGAATGAGCATTAGTAAGTTACCTCTTGGTGAAATCACGGAAGCCTTCATCTTTTAAGCCCCTTGATGACGTCATTTGCTCTAAGAATAAAATCTCTCTTCAAGTCAAGATTCTCTTTAAGAATCTCTGAATGTTTAGTATATAAGGCCACCATAAATTAATAAAAAAAGAATCCAGGTATTTTCCAACCATGGTGAACAAAAGGCATCCCAGTCAAGGAAGCCCTTTTGGGATCTGTGCATCCTGGCAACCAAAGATTGATGTACATGAATTTCTAATGTGCTTGGAAGAGCAGTAAGACAATGACAATCCTGTTAGTGTCAATGAAGGATGCCTGTTCCATAAATGTCGTTTTTCCCCATATTCATTCAGTAGGCTATCATGCAGTGATATGGCCACAACCCAGCAGCGGGGTAAACATCAGGGTAAGACCTGACTAATTTTGTCAGGCAATCTGACCACAAAACCGGTTTCAAGATCCCCGCTCCTGCAACATTCACAGTGCGGCCGGAACGTACCCGTGGGGCTTCTGTCGGGGTCCTCCGGGCCACCATGAGTAGCAGCTGTTGTTGAAGTGCGCTGACCGCTGGGTCTCCAGAAGAAGGATCCTGACTCTCGGATGTGGTAGTGCTGGAGGAACTGATCTGCATCTCTCTGGGGAGGGGCAAGAGACAAGCTCCGGTTACGTGGGAGTATGGACGTCGTCTGTTCGTTACAAACGAACACAGGACACTAGGGAGCCCCAGGGCAGGGAGCAGCTCAGGCCCTTGCAACCATTACCGCCTTACACGCGCCATTAGGGGCTGACATTCTGCATATGCGATGCTATCTGCAGGCAGAAGGGCAATCACCCTGCACACGTTCAAATTACTCAGGCCGTCCAGAGTTGCCATGGGCGGGGGTAGGTAGGTAGATGGTTGGTGTTCTAGAGATGACAACCTTAATTTTCTACATAGTTAATGGATGGGGAGGTGAAAGCAATCATTTCTAGCTTCATAGTTTGTGAAAACAATAAAAAATAGTCTGGATAATTCCAAAGACAGCAATCAGGAAGAAACGCTGACTATCTACCATCTCTGCTACCGCCCCCAACCCCCAACACACTCCACATCCCCTCCTCGCCCCCCCGCACCCAAAGCAAAGAAAGTGCACAGGAGGTCCAAGAAATGCCTCAGGTAATTGGAAAAGAGGACATTACTAAATTAGTTGTAATCTATATTTAAGAGTTTTATTGTCTTTAATCACATACAGTTTGACGGGACATAAATTAATAAATCTCTTCCAGAAATCTCAAGCCTGGCATCTTTCCTTTGCCTCAGAAAGGAAAAACTAAGACACGCTTCTCCATCTGCTTTTCTAGTGGGGTGCCGACAACCTTGAGGGGGCAATATTGACTGCCTACCCTACAGTCATTTCTAATAGAATTCCTGCTAACATAACTCCAATTTTATTCACTCATCCAAGACTATGGCTTCAGAAGAGAGACTAGGTCCCTCCCTAGTCCCCCGGGTCAATCCTGGTCATTTTACGTGCATCACTTTAACCCCATTTACCCTATGTCAGTACCTGGCTTTAGGAAGAGAGAACACATCCTAAGAGGCCACCGTGGAGCAAAGGAGAGATGGCTAAGGATAACAGGGAGCTCGTGCACAAGTTTTTCTATTTCTTAAAAGGTAACAAAAGTAAGACACTCTCTTACCCCTGGCCTTCAGATGCTACGTGAATAAGAAACATTCGGGGCTGTGGCAGCCACACTGTCACCATGAGGAACCAGCCTAAGGACAGCAGAGCTGAGAGAAACTCATTTCCTGATGACAACATTGAGTGTCTGAATTAACCAACCTTGTACCGATCATGTCTTTGGACTTCCTGTCTGTGATTTTGGGTCTTATGAAACTTGCAGCCCAAACTGCCTCAAGAATGTAGATGCTACAGTAACATAATGCCTTTCTGATTTCTAGCCTCACACTTCATTATAAAGTCTCTGACAGGTTTTGGGATCTTTCTTTTTCCTTACTCCTTACTACCGTATTCACAAATACATAAACAGAACAGTGTTTAAAATACTTCTACTATACACACACGTGTGCACACAGACACGCTTCTCTACATCTTTCAGACATAATTCATGGCTATTTGAGGATACATTCAGTAAAGGCGTCCCTGTAAAGAACCATTCAGGAAACATCATATGTTAAGGTCAGGATTTAAGAAGCAAATCAAGAAGTCCATGGAGTTTGCAAACTTAAAAATCCTATCCTTCCATTACTTGGATGACTGTTCCACAAACAATGCTTTTGCTTCCTGTCTGTGGTAGTGGTGTGACATCTTCTACTGACAGAGAAAAGAACCAGTTAGATTTATAAAGGCAATGTTCATTCAAACTTTTTTGCTGTGTCCAGAAACCACTGCGCCCTGTAATTCTGTTGTTCCATCACTAAATACAATAGGGCTGAAAGTGCCTTGCTCGAACAAATTCAGGGAAATCTAAATCTCAGCAAATGCCAGAACTTCACTAGAACCAAAAGATTAATCTGACTTCGCTGTCAGTGATATAAGTGAGGACTAGAACCAGGCAGGCATGGGATGGAAATGTGTGCTTCTGTGAGAAAATCTAGAAAGCGAATAGCACCCTCTATTGCCAACGGAAATAAACTAAGAACTGGCTGTGGTGAGGGTGTGGAGGACAACTGCTAGAACCAGCCTCCCCTGCTCGTGCTTCCCGCCAGGAAGCGTGATACAAAGGAGTGTTAACACGCCTCCGTTAATATCTGCACATTACTTAGCATGTGTCTGATAGTAAAATAATCATAACAATAAATAACTTTATTTTCTTATTGAAGCCATTTAAAAGTCCCATGTAAAAATCTAGGGTTTGGTTTCTTTTCAAAATCTTTTGGATAAGTTCTAGAATTAAACCAAACGAGGCGTGAATCATTGCTCTCCCAATTACTATCTGTGACTGTAAGCATCTGTTGTCCGAGCTCAAATCCTCACCTGTAAAACAGGGAAGATATCTCCTGCATAGGAGTTGCGAGAATTCAATCAGACTAGGTATGTAAACCACCAAATGGTGTCTCCCCTAGAGTAGACACTTAATAACCACACCTTACCGTTTTGTTTCCCTCTATTGATATAGGACCCGACTTTGTTTATTCTCATATTAAATACCAACACAATTCCTCTGCTTTTCATACATTACTTCTAGTTGTCTCTATTAGCATTATTGGGGAGAGAGTGTCATGCGCTCAACTTGCACCTAATCCTCTTTATTTTATAAAAAGAGACCCAAACTTAAGCTTATTAAAGTTGAATATTCTCAACAAAGTGTGATGATACTAAGAAAGCCTAGCTTTGTCCTAGCTCTGTGACTAGTAGGTCCACATCAGAAAGCCTGCAGTGGCTTCCTACTTGGCCAGCAGATGATTTAATGTTACAGTCAGCACTGGTCAACCGGAAAAGACTTCCTTCCGCCTGTACTTAGATGTTGTTCTTGAGGTCCTGATGTTGTGGCTGTAATCTCCGTGCAGCAGCTAGCCCACTCAAGAACCAAAGAGGCGGTGATGTTACAAAAATCACGCAGTGGACAGGAGTCTTCCTACCAATCCTTAAAGAACGCCTGTCCATCTTCTACCCACAGCTGTTCTCAGACTACCTGCTGCTTGTTCCCTTTTTTAGCTGTGCACTGTGGCTGCACAATGACCTAAAAAGTCTCTGTTTGGGGCATCTGACTCTTGGTTTCGGCTCGGGTCGCGATCTTGGGGCTGTGGGATCGAGCCCCACGTCAGGCTCTGTGCTCAGCATGGAGTCTGCTGGAGATCCTCTCTCTCCCTCTGCCCCTCCTGCTCATGCTCCTCTCCTCTCTCTCTCTCTAAAATAAACAAATAAATCTTTAAAAAAAAAATAAAAATAAATACATAAAAAGTAAAAAGTCTCTGTTTTACTAAATTAAGGCCAGAGATTTCCCCTCACATTAATAAATATAATATGAAAGAGCTGAGTTTTAAGAGATAGTTCCTTCTCTAAAACAGTAATATTCCAACCCTGTAGTAAAACTGCACTCTGAGCTACCATAGAACAATACTTGCACGTCTGGTCTTGATTACCCTCTCTCTGGTTCATCTCTGGTAAACTAGTTTGGTTCAGGGTGATGGCGTCAATAAATTGATTTAAACTAGACAATGAACTCAAAGCAATAGCAGAAGTAGTGGCTAATGACAGAAGTTACTAAAGAAGCAGCCACTAGAAGGAAATCAAGATGGACCAGGATCTAGAAGCTGGTCTGGGCCACAATGGTGACTCCCGTATGGCAGAGCTGGGTCTCAGATTGATGGCGACAGCGTTCCGCCATGTTGTACCCCCCGGTTTTCATTCCATTCGTCTAGGCTTCTACAAGTAACAATCAAAATACATGTGCTTCTTCTATATTTTCCCATTATGAGGAAAAAAAAAAAAAATCCTGAAATTCTTCATCTTCCCCAAATCTCAAAACTGTGGCCTACCCACCATCTAGAGAAGGAGGGCCTCTCTTTCTGCCAGTCCCTCTTGTTTTTCAGGCTTCCTCAGGGGACACGGGAACTAACTGCCAGCCGGGGGGGGGGGGGGGGGGGGGGGGCGCAGGTAGCCTAAAAATGCAAGTCACAGCAAGCAATGTGTTCAATATGTAGGATATTTAAGTAAAGCAATACTTTACTATTTTGAAAACGATAACCTGTATTATTGAATTTTAACACGGGTTCTAGATTTAAAGTCTGCGAACAACTCTCCTTTCACAGGTAAAATTCACCCATGCCCTTGAGCAAAAGGAAGGCGAGGGACAGGGCCTCCAACACGGGGTCTGCTGCCACCGTGTGGCAGTTGGGGGTATGACCATCAAAACAGAAGCCCCTTGTGCGGCAGACCTTCCCAGGGATGCAGAGAAGGGGCCTCAGAACAGAGATCTTTCTAGAATCAACCTCACAAACCTTCCATCCTTATGACTCTGTGCCCAGATGAAAACTTAATCTCTCTCTCCTGTGTCCAAGAAACCGAAATAAGGGCCACAGTGGAAGGATCAGAGAGTAAGACAGAAGCCACAGACATTTGGAATGACAGAAACTCTTCAAAGGCAAGCCCCTGGATGCTCCTGTCTTTCTTCCAGATAACTTCCACCTCTGTGTGATCAAAAGCACCCAGATCCCCCAAAGTGTTTGTTTTTTTTTTAAATTTAAAGCAGTACACGCATAACTCGCCACTTTGCAAGTCAACATAGTAATGTAGCTATATGCAAACTCTGAGATACTTACAACTAGAGTTCACATTTTCAACCTAAACCTGAATGGGACACAGAACTGAGCATATCCAATATTCGGAGAATTCACATTTTTCTCCACATTTTGAAGACCTAATTGACTAACTTCAATACCACATACTCTAGTTCAGCTAGTCCAAACCAGGGATCACTATTTCTTCTGACTAATGAAAAAAAAAAAAGAGTTCTAAAAGAGATAATTATTTTTTGCAACTTACTGCTACTTGACTTCTTTGGAAACCAGGGATATATCATTGTGGCTTGAAAAGGCTTTCCTGAGAGCTGATCCCAACGAAAAGGAAAGTTTAACTAAGATAAGCGTCAGAAAGGCTGGTAATGTCAACTAAAGAGTAAGAATTCTAAA